CCCTGAGCCTGTGTCTTCACTGTCCTCACTGTCCTCACTGTCCTCACTGTCCCCACTGTCCTCGCTGTGGGTCTACTTCCTCCCACAGAGTCACAGGGACAGGGAGGTTGGAAAGCTCTCCTCTGCCCATATGTCATTACTGCCCCCCCCTCCACCCTCCTCCCTCCCCTCTCCCCCCTCCTCCCTCCCACTTTCTTCAGACCTGCCGACCGCACCACTAACATTAGACTCCTCCCTTGTCCTACTGTTAATGCCACCAATCAGAAACGAGCTTTTCTGAAAGCAAAAGAAGGCTTTCTTTATTTGAGGGTGACGTCACCTCAGCCTCCCAGCCTGGAGGCCGACTGGAGCAGAGCTGCGTCAGCTTCACTCAGTGCCTTCTATCAGGAGGAGCAGCCTTTAAAACCTGCACTGAGGGAAAGAAGCTCCGTCTGCAGTGTTGACTGATGTGTTAGTTTATGTCTGTGTGTGAAACTCTGCCAGTTTATGGACAGTTGTCTTCAGACTCTCTGATTTGTCTGAGTCTGCTGCCTCCAGATGATTGATGTCCAAGTGTAGAATACGTCTGTTCAACAGGAGGTCGGAGTAGAAACGATCTCCTCTGTGATTGGACAGGAGTGACGTCCACTGACGAGTGTAGTTTTTGTAGTTTATCTGATGTGATTATATAAATATTTGAGCTTCACTTTTGAAATTCCAGAATTATAAAGACAACAGTTTGATTTAAAAGTCATTAAATATCCATTATATAATATCAACCAATCACATGCCTTCTCTGCTCACAGTCACCATGTTGGTCTATTTTCCTCTGAATAAGATCAGATGTTAAAATGACGTCATGTTCTGATTCATGTTCCAGTTTGATGAAGTTGATGGAGATAAATGTCATTTAGAACAGTTTTCAACTTCTTTTTTTTTGTCTTTTTTTTGTCTGTCAGGCCATTGGAAACGCAAAGACCACCAGGAACGACAACAGCAGTCGTTTTGGGAAATACATTGAGATTGGATTTGACACACGTTACCGTATCATTGGTGCCAACATGAGAACATATCTGCTGGAGAAATCACGGGTGGTCTTTCAGGTGAGCAGCCATTTTCATTATGTTTGGGTTTGTAAGGCAGAGATTAACTCTGAAACAGTTTCTGTTCCATTTGGAACTTAATTAAATGTCAGATTTGTTTATATTAGTGTCCTGTTATAAAACTGTTGATCCCATCGTCACTGAATAACAGACTTCTGTAACATGTTACTGATGGAAAAGAACTCTCTCTCCCTCTCTCTCTCTCTCTCTCTCTCCCTGCCTCTCTCTCTCTCTCCCTCTCTCTCTGTTGACTTCTCTCTCTCTCTCTCTCTCTCTCTCTGTCTCCCTCTCTCTCTCTCTCTCCCTCTCTCTGTTGACTTGTCCATATTTGCTCACAGGTGGAGCAGTAGAACACAGTGTAGATAAAGAAAAGTCAGTCTGTAGTAACAGTGTTGAGCAACAAGGGAGTTGTTTAAAAGATGTGCACACACTTTTCCACGTTTGTCTCCGTAGCACCCTTTCACAGGTATGTGTGCACACACTTTTCCACGTTTGTCTCCGTACCACCCTTTCACAGGTATGTGTGTATTTGTTTTCTCTGGTGGGAGATTCACGGCCCACAGTCACAGGAAGTGTTCTGACTGATGATTCCTGGAAAACTGCTGGATCAAATGGGTTTTTTTCTGACTGAGTTTGTTGGACCCACATGGTCACATCACATGGTCACATCACATGGTCACATCACATGGTCACATCACATGGTCCAACCTGCTGGATAATATGTTAAAAGACGTGACCTTGACTCCAGGTCCAGGTCCAGGTCCAGGTCCACAGTAACACTCTCTCCTCCACTCTCTTCTCCAGGCTGATGAGGAGAGGAATTATCACATCTTCTATCAACTCTGTGCTTCATCACATTTACCTGAGTTCAAGATCCTGAAGCTGAGTAAGTGTTTCTCTGTCCTCCGTTTGTTTTTGAATGACTTCAGTCTTTAAAGTTTTTCTGTCCATGTGTTAAATGGTTCTGCTCAGAGTCAAACCTCTGCTGGAAATAAGTCCAGTAGAATCTGCAGTCGAGTCACTGACTTGAACAGACGCTCGTTCACAGTGGGATCACTGTGAAAACACACCTGCTGCCCCCAGTCAGGACACATACACACACACACACACACACACACTCACACACTCACAGCTGTTGTGCTTCTCTCTCCTGTCAACTTCCTGACTAAATGGAGTGGTTGTCACTGCCTCTGGTTGCCAGGCAACAGGGCAGGTCTTAATTCCTTGTGAAGTGTGTGTGTGTGTGTGTGTGTAGTTATTGTGGTAAACATCACATCAGTTCTGTGTTTCAATCCCAATTAGGCAGTGCCAACGACTTCCTGTACACGAGGCAGGGTCGCAGCCCCGTCATCGAAGGTGTGGATGACACCAAGGAGTTGAGCACGACACGGAACGCCTTCACGTTACTAGGTAATGACATCATCTCCAGATAAGCAGATAAAATATCTGAACCATAATCACTCTTTAGTACTCGAGTACTGAGTACTGAGTACTGAGTACATCCACAGGTACTGCAGTGTTTTCTGTCGTATTAAATGTCCTAATGGTAGAACCGGGGTCTAAGTTTATTTTTCTGCTGCAGGGATTAATGAATCCTATCAGATGGGACTGTTCCAGGTTTTGGCTGCGATTCTCCATCTTGGAAACGTGGAAATAAAAGACAGAGATTCAGACAGCAGCCTGATCCCTGTAAGGTTCAACTCTGTTCTTCACATTTAAAAATGTCTTATATTATTGTCTCGGTTGACAACGACTGTGTCTGGGTGTGTTTTTTTTGTTTTTTTTTGTCTAGCCTAACAATCCCCACCTGATGGCCTTCTGTCAGCTGGTGGGCGTGGCCTACCCTGACATGTCCCAGTGGCTGTGCCACAGGAAGCTGAAGACGGCCACGGAGACCTACGTCAAGCCCCTCCCTCGTCTCCAGGCCACCAACGCTCGTGATGCGCTCTCCAAACACATCTATGCCAAACTTTTCAACTGGATCGTTGAACACGTGAACAAAGCTCTGATCACCAACGTCAAACAGCACTCCTTCATCGGCGTGCTGGACATTTATGGGTACGTCAGCTGATCGACACCTTGTCTTTAGACGCAGGTCATTATCATATGAAGTGTCTAGAAATAAAAGATTTTACCACAAAAATTCAATTTACGAATTTTTTTTATTTCAACGTACAATGACTATTTGAAAGGCAGGTTTACCAGGTGCGTTCTCTTCTCCGCAGGTTTGAGACATTTGAGATCAACAGTTTCGAGCAGTTCTGTATCAACTACGCTAACGAGAAGCTCCAGCAGCAGTTTAACATGGTGAGCACCGTGTTTATTTGTTTATTTATTTGTTTATTTGTGATTCAGATGGTCGTCTGACGTCTTCATGTCTGTGCACAGCACGTGTTCAAGCTGGAGCAGGAGGAGTACATGAAGGAGGAGATCCCCTGGACTTTGATCGACTTCTATGACAACCAGCCCTGCATCAACCTCATAGAAGCTAAGATGGGAGTCCTGGACCTTCTGGATGAGGAGTGCAAAGTACGGAGGAATCAAACCTGCAACATTTAAACGATTGCTGCTCTAGGCACCGATTCTTTAAAAATGGACCAAGTCGACCTGATTCTAACCAGACTTTGAAACCTTTGTAGTAACATGAATCTGGTCGACAACTTTAGTTGGAAGTTTCTTAGATTAGATTTTACACTGAACCAAAGGTACGCCCCTTCACAAGTTGTAGGAAAGCAGGAGAAATCAATTCTAGACTTTAAAATCCACTGGTGTGTTTGATCTCCTGCAGTGGAGACAAACGTGCAACGGCAACTGCAGCTGTATTTTTATGAATATTTAAAAATATAAGTTAATGTGGCTCAAACAACACAATCATTAAGGTGACGAGAAAAAACCATCCACCTAATGTAACATGTCAGTCTGGTTTGATTGACACATTATTGTCTTTGATCAGTGAAACTCACACTGGTTTCTCCTTCTTCCCCTCTTTGTTTCCCAGATGCCAAGAGGTTCCGATGATTCCTGGGCCCAGAAACTGTACAACACCCATCTGAAAACCTGCTCCCTCTTCCAGAAGCCGCGCATGTCCAACCGCGCTTTCATCATCCAACATTTTGCTGACAAGGTGGGGCTCGACAGACGTCGTCGTGTTTTCCATCACACTAGGAATAAAAACAAAAACAAGGCAGAAATAAAAACAAAAACAAGGCAGAAATTACATTTCAGAAGAGAGAGAGCTGCTGTTACTACTGCTCCAGTCGCTGCAGTTGCTGCAGTTGCTGCTGCTGCTCCAGTTGCTGCTGCTGCTGCTGCTGCTGCTGCGGTTGCTGCGGCTCCGGTGGCTGCGGCTGTTCCAGTTGCTGCTGCTCCCGCTGCTGCTGCTGTTGCTGCTGCTCCAGCTGCTGCTGCTCCAGGTGCTGCAGTTGCTGCGGCTCCAGTTGCTGCTGCTGCTGCTCCAGTTACTGCAGTTGCTGCTGCTTCTGCAGTTGCTGCTGCTGCTGCATTTGCTGCTGCTCCAGTTACTGCAGTTGCTGCTGCTGTTCCAGTTGCTGCTGCTGCTGCGGTTGCTGCGGCTCCGGTGGCTGCGGCTGTTCCAGTTGCTGCTGCTGCTCCAGTTGCTGCAGTTGCTGCTGTGGGATATTTTTAGGACAGCTGCAACATAGACGACCTACTGTGTTGTTCTCCCTGTTTTCAGGCTCACAGACTCTCTCCCTCTGTGTGCTGACGTCATTCCCTTCAGTCAAATGACATTAGCTCATATAATGATCTACACTACGACACGTCTCTGCTGAAGTCGCCGTTAACGTCTCTGACTTCATCAGTCGTAGAATCAAAATAAAACGATTTCATCTTCAACTGATTTAGCTGCTAATGCTGGAGATGAAGGTGTAGTCAGGGACATTCAGACAGTCCTGTCTGTTGACTACGTGTCTGTGCTGTGTGTCTGTTGAGCAGGTGGAGTATCAGTGTGAAGGCTTTCTAGAGAAGAACAAGGACACGGTGAACGAAGAGCAGATCAATGTGTTGAAGGCCAGCAAGGTGAGCTGAACAACACTCTCTCTCTCTGTGTCTCTGTCTCTCTCTCTCTCTCTGTGTCTCTCTCTCTCACAGATTTTTTTACAGATCAAAAGAAGTTCTTGTCAAAGCAGTTACTGTTAACCAAAAGTAACATTGTAAAACATGTAACTTCTTCACTCCAGACTCTAAAAGGGCGCCCTCTGCTGGATGTGGTTAGATTGGTTAAACTCTAGCACATCAATCATAAACACTGGTCTGAGTGGAAATCTTCAAGTTACAAGGATTGTTTTTGTTATGTGATGTTAGAATTTGAATCAACACCACAAAGATAAAAAAAAGAAACCGTAAAAACATTCCTAGAAATATCATATCCATCCATTTGATGAGAAAAAACCCCATTATAAATCACTGTTCTGTTATTGTTGTCATTGTTATGGTTTATTGTATTTTTTTCCATGATCTTGATCTTTTTTTTATCTTTTTTTGTTTGTTTTATCAACCTTTTGTTTTTGCTGTTTAAATGTTTGTCTCCATATGTTGTTGATGTGTGTGTGGTTCTGTCCTCATCATGACAACACTTTGCTGCCAGCAGAAGGTAAAGAAACAGACATTCTCTCCACACTGGGCTGTTGGCTTCTTGTTTTTCTGGTCCTCTTTTTTTTTTTGTATATCCTAACACCACTGAGGTCTGTCTGCTGTCTGTCTGCTGCATGGATAACTCTGAAGGCACTGTAAGAGGAGGAGACTCAGGAATGAGAGAAAAGTTGTTGTGAGAATGTTTGCTGCAGTGGAGCAGCGGCCGCTGTGGCTCTGGCTGTGTTTCCTAATGAAGGCAATGAGCAAAACAGCATGACAGCAATCAGACGACAGCAACAGAAACCTGCGTATGACACTGACACTGACATCTGTTCTATAGACTCCCTGTGTAACAGTGGTACGGCTGCATGGTAAACATTAACCTGGTAAACAGGGGTTGTACCAAAACAGTGCACAATAATATAATTTATGAAATGTTTATAATTTCTAACAACTTTGTAGATATTTTCACAGGTTTAACAAAGTTGACTGAATAAATGAAGTGTATTTGTGTTAACTTATGAACCAGACTAAAGTCCGTCCTCCTTCTTTGTTGATGAGACACGGCCGTAGGACTGAAAGGTCACGATGTTCAGTGTTGGATAATAATCTGCACTGAAGTCCATTCAAACACAACCTTTTCTCTGACTGATGTACTGTACAAGGTTTCTGATTGGATTTCTTGTTACTTCCAGTTTGACCTGTTGGTGGAGCTGTTTCAAGATGAGGAAAAAGCGACCAGTCCTACGGGTCAGGTCCCTGGGACTGGAGGTCGAACCCGCCTCAGCATCAAACCCGACAAGGGTCGAGACAAGAGCAGTAAGGAGCACAAGAAGACCGTGGGATGCCAGGTTTGTCGTGTTTCAGTAGTTTGATGACTTAAAAAAGGAAGAAAAAGAAATGACTGAAGTATTTCTGTCTCTTAGTTCCGTAACTCTCTACAAATGCTGATGGAGACCCTGAATGCCACCACACCACACTACGTGCGCTGCATCAAACCAAACGACTTTAAGTTGGCCTTTTCGTGAGTATCTCAACTTTACTTCAAGTCTCTCTGTAGCTTCAACCTTTTTTAGTACTTGCAGACGGTATCTAGGAAGTTGTTACTGTGACAGAACAGTTACAGTTCAGATCATGGCTCCATAAACTTGGCATCCGCCCTCATCTGAGGTCAGGTGTTTTTCCCAGCGGTCGTGTTGATTGGTATCTTCTCATGTTGACAGGTTCGATCCCAAACGTGCAGTGCAGCAGCTCAGAGCCTGCGGTGTCCTGGAAACCATCCGGATCTCTGCAGCTGGCTTCCCGTCGAGGTGCAGCCCCGGCCACACTGATCCTCAGAGGCTGCCTCTGCATTTTAATGTGACATCTGTATCTGTCTGTGTGTCACAGGTGGACGTACCAGGAGTTCTTCAGTCGTTACAGAGTCCTGATGAAGCAGAAGGATGTGCTCGCCGACAAAAAGTTGACCTGCAAAAACGTCCTGGAGAAACTGGTGCAGGTCTGTTTGAATATTTATAAATAAAAACTGGTGCAGGTCTGTTTGAATATTTTACAGTGGATTACATTGTAGCAGCAGCACAGAATAATCAGAATATAATATAATCACATCCGTCTCACCTGACATTTCTCCCTTGTCTGTTTTTTTTTCAGGATCAAGATAAATACCAGTTTGGTAAAACCAAGATCTTCTTTCGGGCTGGCCAGGTTGCATACCTCGAGAAACTCAGGGCAGACAAGTTGCGAGCTGCCTGCATCCGCATCCAGAAAACCATCCGTTGTTGGCTGGCTCGTAAGAAGTATTTGCGCAAACGCAGCGCTGCAATTACAATCCAGCGCTTCACCAGAGGTTACCAGGCCCGCTGGTGAGTCCACGAGACCGGATGTTATTCTTTTTTTTATTTCAATTCTATCTCTAAATATTTTCTAATTCAATAACTTTGATCTGTGTCTGTAAATCTCTCAGCTTGGCCAAGTTTCTGCGCCGTACTCAGGCAGCCACCACCATCCAGAAGTACCAGAGAATGTGTGTGGAGAGGAAACGCTACAGGCAGAAGCAGGCGGCAGCCTTGGCCATGCAGACCATCCTCAGAGCTTATATGGCTCGACAGAAGTACCAGGCGGTAAGATGCTGACTGTAACATGTCTCATTCGTGTTTTAGAGGAAAACGTTCTGCTTTTACTTCACTGTGTCTTTGGTTTTTGTTCTTTGTAGCTGCTGCGGGAGCACAAGGCTGTTATCATTCAGAAACATGTCCGTGGCTGGTTGGCCCGCTGCTGGTACAAGCGCTGCCTCTACTCCATTGTCTACCTTCAGTGCTGCATCCGCAGGATGAAGGCCAGGCGTGAGCTGAAGAAGCTGAAGATCGAGGCTCGCTCTGTGGAGCACTTCAAGAAGCTGAACAAAGGCATGGAGAACAAGATCATGCAGTTACAGAGGAAGATCGACGAGCAGGTGAGACATTAGAAGACGATGTATGTATTTTCTTCTCTGTTTCTGTTTATTTACCTTTTTTATCTGTTTTTTTTTTTTATCTGTCCAGAACAAAGACAGTCGGTCGCTCAACGAAAAGCTGGTCAGTCTGGAGAATTCCTACTCAACAGAGAGCGAGAAAATGCGAGGCGAGCTTGGCCGACTGCGCGGTGCGGAGGAGGACGCCAAGAACAAGACGAACCAGGTGTCTTCACTGCTGGAGGAACTGGAGAAACTGAAGAAAGAGCTGAGAGTCACACAGCAGGAGAAGAAGACCATCGAGGACTGGGCACAGACCTACAGGGACGAGATGGAGACAGTAAGACATTCACGTCTGTTCACGTCTGTTCACGTGGGTTACTTTCTACCCTCACTTACCTAGAAATAAACCTTACAGAAATCCCTCAAACTTAGTTACCTCAAATCCCACAACTTCTCTCCAACGTGACTAAATAGTCAACTAGATAAATTTTGCCAAAAGGAAAACAGTTTTCACCTGATTTAGGAACCAGAACGAAGAAGGACAGAAAGGGCGTGTGGTTGGTTGTGGACGGAGACTTGGCCTGTGTCAGGTGAGACCATGTCAGTCCTGTTGGTGATGTGACAGTGAGGCAGCCATGTTTGTTTGTGTGTTTGTGTGTTTTAGTTCTGTTTATCATTCCGTGTCACATGGCCACAGGTCAACAAACCCACAGAACAGTTTAAAAGTGGCGTCTGGTTCAGATCAGTAATGCATCACTGAGAATGAGATCAAAGTTCAAAGACATATAACTGTAACTGGTCAGGACTCTGGTCTGACTGGGCTGTGGCTGCAGGTGTGAGAAGGAAGATGACCAGAAGGTGTCAGTGATGCAACACAGAAGTGATAAAAACCTGAAACAAAATGACACCTGAAGGACTCACTGTTATTCAGTGACAACATGAATAAATAAATAAAATAAATAAATCCACAAAGGAGCAACTTGACAGCAGGTCTGTAGAACAGATGGGTCAGAGTTTGGTTTAGACACAGATGGAGTGGCAGTTTTAACTGCCCACAGATCTGTGACGTGATCTTCCATCGGTTCAAGGTTAAAGGCTCATCAGTCCCGTGGGAAGTCGTGGACCTCAGCAAATGTCTATGTTAACCTGTTTATAACAATGTGATTTTAAAAAATCAATGTTTGTGTTCAGTTGGTCTCAGAGCTGAAGGACCAGAATGGCTCGCTGAAGAAGGAGAAGGACGACCTGAACAGAATGATTCAGGAACAGAGTCAGCAGATGACGGGTATTTATTAACGCCCACTCTATTGACTCTGGGTCTACGTTCACCTGCCAAAACATTTCTCCTCCTTTTTCATCCCATCAGAGAAAATGGTTCGTTCAATAGCAGAAGAGACTCAACAGCTGGAGACGGACCTGAACGAGGAACGCTCCCGTTACCAGAACCTCCTGTCGGAACACCTTCGCCTGGAGGAGAAATACGACGACCTGAAGGAGGCACTTTCCTCGGTTAGAGATCGTCACACAAAAGCCTGTGTCAAGAAATTATTACATTGAATCTTATTGATGAAATTTAAATATTGATTCCTAAATGAAACAAAAAACAAATTCTTTGACATTGAGACGGTATTTTAAGCTTGATGTGCAACAAAAAGTGGATTGATGCTAAAAAATACAGTGTGCATTTGTTGAAAAAATGAATCAAATTTAAATCAAATTAATTACCCTGGCCCTACAGCATATCTTCTTGTGCTGAGTTTAATCCTGTCTTATATTTACATTTATGTTGGTGCTGAGTTTAACCCTGTCTTATATTTTAATAATTTATATTTGCATTTATGTTTGTTTGTCTGTGATTATAAGAACGTGACCAAGCCCGGCCACAGGAGAACAGACTCCACCCACAGCAGCAACGAATCAGAGTACACCTACAACTCCGAGTATGCAGAATTGGAGGATGGTTCCCGCGCCGCAGAAGTTAGTGACTGAAACAAATCCACATTTATTACTGCTGCACTGTTTACAAAACTGTCTTAGAGTTTACGTCAACACTTTTTTATTTTTCATGACATGAAGGACGTGACACGAGGAATAGACACTTCACTGACCCTGAAGCTGCAGAAACGTCTCACAGAGCTGGAGCAGGAAAAGCAGTCGCTGCGTAATGAACTGGAGAACAAAGAAGAGCAGTTTCAGCGGGCCAGAGCCCGGGTTTGGACTTTAATTCATTACAACCTGAGCATGAATGAAAAACATTCTAACATTTAAGGTCAACACGTTCAGGTCTTGACTGAAAATACGCAGCTCATCCTCATCGTCCTTCCTTTTCTGTTACCAGGACGACGTAGAGTTTAAAAAGGCTCGTGGGGCAGAGTTGGAGTACGAGTCCCTCAAGGTAGAACACAAACCTTTCAACAAATCAGTTTTCTCCTCCTCCCAGGGCTGAGATCTCAGTCTTTTTTCTTTTCCAGCGTCAGGAACTGGAGTCGGAGAACAAGAAGCTAAAACACAATCTGGCAGAGATGAGGCAAAGCCTGCTGGGAAATGCTGCCGCCAACTCTGGGGCTCCAGGCTCCCCTGCTTACAAGGTGCTGCTGGACCAGCTCAACACCTCCTGTGAGGAGCTGGACGTCCGTAAAGAGGAGGTTCTCATCCTGCGCTCTCAGCTGGTCAGCCAGAAGGAGGCAATGCACCACAAGGTAAAACACCGTTTGATCACTAACTCATTAACTAGTAAACTAGTTAACTCAAGATGATCCTGATGGAGAGAAGCCCTGAGTTAGTGGTTGGTGGATCACATTTGTTCACATTTGTGTGTTTTCACCACAGTCTGCTTCTCTGTTTGTATTAATTCAAGTCATATATATATATATATATAAATGTTTAAAAAATTGAACAGTCTGCTTCTCTGTTTGTATTAATTCAAATCATATATATCCATATATAAAAAGAAAAACTTGAAAATTGAACGAAATTAATATTCAGGAAAGCCTGTTAATTTACACCAGTGATGTCCAAACGTGTCAGACCATCAGCTGAACTCTGTCCCTCTGAAAACTATCATTCTATTTACTGCAAATCCCTCTAGTGGCCAAAGTTAATATGGGTTATCATTTTGGACACATTAGTCACTGCTGACTAGTTACAGGACTAACCAAACTACTAAACATAGTCTGGTTTATAGACTAAAGTAAAGTTTTAGTCACAGGTCAACACAGACTCTGTGAGACAAATATCGTCCACTGTCTCCTGTGTGTGTGTCTAACCCATGTGTCTGTACCTTCTCTCCTCCATCCATGCACCCGCCCAGGATGAGAAGGTAGAGTTGGGACACGACATTCTGCACGAATGTCCCTGTGATCTGATGTTAAAAAAACAAACCTTGTTGTTTGTTGTCAGACAAACTGATAAAAGACAAAAGAAAAAGACTTTTGTTCTTCAGCTGCTGCTTCCAGAATACATGACATGTTTTTATTATTAACATGACATGGATTTATTATTAACATGACATGTTTTTATTATTAACATGACATGGATTTTATAACTTTTAACAGTAAATATTTTTACATCCATCGTCAAATATCTGGTTGACAATAGTGTTCAGTTCTGATGCTCAAGGACGGTCAATGCTAACGCTAACACGTTACAGCGGTCCTTTGTCGCTCGTCTCTGTATCAGCCCCAGGCTCTAAAACGGTTCATGATTGTCAGTGGTTTTCACGCCCCCTCCCCCACAATCCGACCCACACCCCAGCGAATTGAAATACTGTTGAGAACCAGATAACGTATATTTTGTCTGTACAAACCACAGTATGAGTTGCTGCCACCTAGTGGCTGGAGGCTGGTCATCATTCAAACATTACAGCAGTGGTACACTCATGTTTAGTGATGGCCATATTCCATAGGAGACACAGACTTCAGTCATTCACTAACCTGCATGAAGCTCCTGCCGTCATAGTGACCTTGTTGTTGTTGTTGTTTTTGTTGTTGTTGTTGTCGTCGTTGTTAGTTGTCGTCGTATCCCCGTGTGTGAATGTGGTGAATTCCGTTCACTGCTCTCTCTCAATAACGTCTCCTTCGTTCTTGTCTCACCTTTAATTCCAGGGGACGATGACGGAGCCCTCTGTCTTTGTGGACGATGTGTCCAAGTTGAAGGACAGTGATGAGATCAAACAGGCCTACATCGGCCTGAAAGACACCAACAGGTACGTGTTCTCCTCAACAAACACCTGAGACACATACATGTGTGTGTGTGTGTGTGTGTGTGTGTGAACACGTGTTTGTCCTGTGCAGATCTCCTAGGTTCATGTGTAGACCTCTGGAAGTCAGTGACCTCCTGAGTAGACTCAGGTAACCTCTGACCCCTGGCCCCTGCATGGTGGTGCGGCCCCTGCATGGCCACGCTGCCGCTGAACACTGGTTCAAATGTAACCACTGACTGATGTGAGTGAAGCTGGAGCAGCTGACCTCACTGACCAGGACTTGTTTTCACCCTAACACCTGCAGCAGCAGCTGTACCTTCAGCCTGAGCGTTGTTTAACAGCAGGTTCACGGAGGGCGTGGCCTGGATTTGCATGTGTTCTGATTGGTGGGTCAGAACCAGAGCAGCAGCTGGAGAGAGTCTTTAGTTTCTTCAGCTGATCTGGTTCATCTTCTGAAACACGCTAGATTTAAATAGAGTGCAGTTTTAACCAAACGTGGCACGAGAGCATGAAACGGTCTGGTAGTAGAGCTGCACCGATTGGCCGACCGGTCGGTGGAGTCGTCTGATATTCACACGTGCCGTCGCCTCTCTCTGTGTCGGAGAACAGGAAACTCAAAACCCGAGGTAATCGTTAACTTGGGATTACTTAACAGTGAGTGGTGAAACAGTGAGGTTAACTTTGGTCAAGTCAGTTCTGAACGAGAACCCAGATCTGACACGGCGTTACTGAAGCTGTTTCTAGTCATGTGAGCGTTGAGGAGAGATCGTCAGGTGACGATGAAGAAAAATGTTAATGTTGAAGAAACAGATCTTTGACCCTGAAAACAAAAAGCCTCTTTTTTTACCTCTTGGTGACCACTGCAAACATGTAGTACCTCATTCCAGTCAGCAGGGGCTTTGTTTTGAAACTGAAGAGGGAAATCTCTGACTGGGTGATGTTTGTGGGAGAGGTTTTAAAGTTACGCTTTATGAGAATAAACTGTACTTTTTGTACTGTATAAACCAGTGAAGAAAATCAGAACTGGTCAAAATAATTATAGCAGCATGTCACGTGTCAATCAGCCCAGAAACAATCGGTGCATCTCTACCTGGTAGTTTAATCTAACAGTTCTACAACAGCTAACGACTGAACGACTCACTGATTGGACGGCAGCTTTGTGCTAATGAAGTTATAGTTTCAGCTTCGTGACATGAGTTTTGCATGAAAGGTGCATGATGTTGTTTTTGTTTTTCCTGTGTTCATCATGTTTTTATTTTTTTGTCCATCTTCTATAATTGTTTTAAGTTATCACTTATTTTAGCTAGCATCCCGTTAGCCTTTATCATATACATTCCACATACTGAGCAAACAACCAAGAAACTACACATAGTTTTCATTAAGAAAGAGAACTGTACACTTTGACAGTTGATGAAAGTCCACAACATCAGTCAAACTGTTCATGAAGTGAAGAAATAAATGTATGATTGTCCAGAGCCTGACACATAAATCCATGTGACATCTTCAGTCTAAAGGTCAACCTCCATGTTGTTCTGCCTTTGTTTGTCCATCATGTTTCTTCATGTTGTGTCAGATCTGCTGCTCCAGAATTCCATCAGCTGAATGAGGATGGAGAGCTGTGGCTGGTGAATCAGGGCTTAAAGGAGACCATCAGGTGTTTCTGTGTTTCAAACATCTGCTCTGAGCCGGGTTTCATCTTTGAGCATGTTTGGAGTGTCACCGTTTTTATTTCCCCTCATCTTCAGATTTACTCTCTACAGCTGAACTAAATCAAACTCCTGTCCATTTTGTCCAGCTGTTACACGACTGTTCTCTCTTATTTCTTGTAGAAAAATCTACTTTTTTGAAGGATTTTATTTGTTATCAAAACTGGCACTCGTTTGGTGACTTAAAAAATAATTTATGGTTAAAGTAAAGGTTCATCAACGGAGTGAGATGATAAATCAAATCATTCTCGTTACTACTAAACATTTTTTACTAACCAGTAGTGGTTTTCAGTCTTTAACCAGGTCATTAACGTGAGTCTGTGTGTGTGTGTGTGTCAGCTGTTCTGTTCTGATGATGTTGACATCAGCTCAGTGATGCTGCGAGTTCTTCTGTCAACTTTTTATAAATACAGAGACAGAAAAAGTGCTTTGCTTGAAACATTTCCAGTGACTCAGCAGAATGAGTCTGTGATAGAAGCTGTGCTCTGGGCTGATGCTGCTGCTGCTGCTGCTGCTGCTGTTCTGTTCTGTTCCAACCACAAACAAACTGAAACTCACTTTTGTCTTTTGTTTTTTTAACAAACTTTTTTTTCTCTCCTCTTTTTCTCCCTGTGTTTTTCCTTCTTTCCTCCACTTCTCAAATTGTCTTCCATCACCTTCACCTTTCATCGGTTTGTCCCTTGTCTCTTGTTTGTGTCCTTGGCCTTCCTCCACTCACCACTGTCCCTCCACCGACCACCCCCCCACCCCAAAAGGCTACTGGAACACCAGCTGCAGACTCAGCGGAGGACCCATGATAATGAGGTGGAGACACTGCGTGGTGAGCTGCAGAGTGTCAAAGAGGAGAACAGTCGTCAGCAGCAGCTCTTGGCCCAGAACCTTCAGCTCCCCCCGGAGGCTCGCATCGAAGCCAGTCTGCAGCACGAGATCACCCGGCTGACCAACGAGAACCTGGTATGGTGCTGCGCAGCTCAGACACAGACACAGACACAGACACAGACACAGCCAGGTCTGGAACACAGGCTGGAGTTTTCAACTACCTTCACATTTACATCAACGTTCATGAATGAGACAAACAATCTTCCATATTACTGGAATAGAAAGGCAAATAAAAAATGTAGCCATGACAAAAAAACCATCCTTAGGAATAATCTCTCAGCCCAGAGTGGATGGCACTGATTAACACTTCATTCAAGTATAGATTGTGACTTTCTCTCCCTCTCGATTGGCTGGTGAACCTATAAAAACAACTGCTGTGGCTCTGCCTCGTCACACACTGATTGGTGTGGATGGTGTCACCTGACAGGAACTCATGGCCGAGGACCCTGCAGCGTCCAGAGAGGCCCGTGTCGCCATATTACGACGGATGGTTGTATGTAGAGACGGAGTGTGTTCTCCTGCATGTTAGGACGTTCTGAGCTCTAACTCCTCAGCAGTGTCTTCTAACCTCCTGTGAAGCAGCTCTGCACGTTTCTCTCTCTTAACAGAAAGTCTGAAACTTCTAAAAACAAAATCAGTCTCAGTGGGTCTCATGTCTAGAACTGCTTAAATTTGACCTTGACCTTCTAATGTTTCTCTGCTCCTACAAAACACCAGCCATAACTGTTCCCTGGGTTACGCTTAATCAACGATTTACCACTAGATGGCGCCAGTGTTAAGGCTGTCTTGATCAAAGGCTTCCGAATTTCTTCTTCCTTCTCTGCCTGCGTGTCCTTCTGTCTGACTTGTTCTTCTGTTTTTGTTCTGATGACATCACCGATGACATCACACTGCGTCTTGTTTCCTCCAGGATCTCATGGAGCAGCTGGAGAAGCAGGACCGGACCATCCGCAAGCTCAAGAAGCAGCTGAAGGTTTACTCCAAGAGAATTGGAGAGATGGGAGGTCAGAGTTCAAACAAGTGTCGAGAAGAATGGGTTTTTAGGCTCTGAACTGTTATTGACGTGTGTGTGTGTGTGTGTGTGTGTGTGTGTGTGTGTGTCCCAGCGGGTCAAACCGAGGGCCAGACGTCTCCTGGGCAGATGGTGGAGGAGCCCATTCACCCCGTCAACATTCCCCGCAGGGAGAAAGACTTCCAGGGAATGCTGGAGTACAAGAGGGAGGATGAACTGAAACTGGTTAAAAATCTCATCCTGGGTGAGTTTTAAAATAATCAAATATACATTTAAAAGCATTTCAAACTCTTAGAAAAAAATAACCATACATTTTGTGGTTGTTCAACCTGTGTCTCTTCAGAACTGAAGCCTCGTGGTGTAGCCGTGAACCTGATCCCAGGTCTGCCTGCCTACATCCTCTTCATGTGTCTGAGACACGCTGACTATCTGAACGACGACCAGAAGGTGCGCACCCTGCTGACCTCCACCATCAACAGCATCAAGAAGATCCTGAAGGTACAAAAGGACAAGAGTCCCTGTTCAAGTCAGGTTGTGTTGGGAAACACTGTGTGTTTAGATATAAAGTGGCTAAAAAAAAGAAAAATAGTTACAGAGGAGAGTGATAAAATGCTGAAGCTGGTTTATTTTATTTTAAGTTTTTAGTTTTTTAGGTTTGAACTACAACCACACAATTTTCTTCTTTTTTATTTGTCAGAAACGAGGAGACGACTTTGAGACGGTGTCTTTCTGGTTGTCCAACACCTGTCGCTTCCTGCACTGTCTGAAACAGTACAGTGGAGACGAGGTGAGAATGGAGTTCACGTTTACTCTGATGATTTATCATCAACGTCAATAAGTATTACAGTATTACAACAAATGAAGGGGGAATTAGAATTCCACTGGTTTAGTTTAGATCCATGTTAAAGACCAGGAGTCAGACTGTCCTTCATTGGTCAAACTGTGTCTCTGTGTCACAGGCTTTCATGAAGCACAACTCTTCGAGGCAAAACGAACACTGTCTGTCCAACTTTGACCTGGCGGAGTACAGACAGGTCATCAGTGACCTGGCCATCCAGATTTATCAGCAGCTCATCAAGTGCATGGAGAACATCCTTCAGCCCATGATAGGTGTGTACACAACTGCAAACACGGCAGAAATCGGGGACGCAGTATTTCCACTCCGTATGTCACACAAGTACTTCGTCGTCCGCAGTTTCTGGAATGCTGGAACACGAGACCATCCAGGGAGTCTCCGGCGTGAAGCCCACGGGTCTCAGGAAGCGAACGTCCAGCATCGCCGACGAAGGCACCTACACCCTGGACTCCATCCTGCGGCAGCTCAACGCCTTCCACTCCACCATGTGTCAGCACGGCACCGACCCTGAGCTCATCAAGCAGGTGGTGAAGCAGCAGTTCTACATCATCGGCGCCGTCACCCTCAACAACCTGCTGCTGCGCAAGGACATGTGCTCCTGGAGCAAAGGCATGCAGATCAGGTGAGAGTTGTTGGTGTGAATCTGGAGAACAGCCAGCACAACATCAGGTGTTTTAGGATGGACACGTGTTTTTATTTTGGAGCAGGTGGATGATTCCATCTGCAGTTCTTACTGTTGGAAAAATGTAAAGGTTTTACGTTTATTTCCTGCCTCTGTGTGAAGGTTTAGGTGTCACATGATCTTCTCTCAAATCAACTCCACTCTCATTCTGTCTGTTTAGGTGATAAAATCTGACTGATTATGGTTCTGTGTTTCCTCCAGGTACAACGTCAGTCAGCTGGAGGAGTGGCTCAGAGACAAAGGTCTGATGACCTGTGGAGCCAAGGAGACTCTGGAGCCGCTCATCCAGGCGGCTCAGCTGCTGCAGGTGAAGAAGAAGACCGACGAAGACGCCGAGGCCATCTGCTCCATGTGCCAGGCTCTGACAACGGCTCAGGTACGACGGCAGCTGCAGCTGCAGGTCCTCACACGGGTCAAGGGTCAAGTCTGAAAACTCTAACTGTGGTGCGTTTCTTACAGATCGTCAAAGTCCTGAACCTCTACACACCAGTCAACGAGTTCGAGGAGAGAGTGTCTGTGGCGTTCATACGGACCATACAGGTATCCTGACTCCTGACATGACATCACAGCGTGTCCGTGACATCACAGCGTGTCCGTGACATCCCAGCGTGTCCGTGACATCACAGCGTGTCTGTGACATCACACCATGTCCATGACATCACACCGTGTCCATGACATCACACTGTGTCCATGACATCACAGCGTGTCCGTGACATCACAGCGTGTCCGTGACATCACAGCGTGTCCGTGACATCACAGCGTGTCCATGACATCACAGCGTGTCCGTGACATCACACCATGTCCGTGACATCACACCATGTCCATGACATCACAGCGTGTCCGTGACATCACAGCGTGTGTCCATGTTATCACAGCGTGTCCGTGACATGGATTATTCAGACTAAGATTAAAGGACCAGGTTATAACCTCATTTCCAGTGAAACCTCTAGATGGTGCTGTTGTTAAAACAGTTGACTGAGGTTGACTTCTTTATTACCTTCTGGTCAAACCCCTCCTCTCTCTGATTTCTACTTTTACCTTCCAGACACGTTTGCGGGACCGCTGTGAGAGCCCCCAGCTGTTGATGGACACAAAGATGATCTATCCTGTCACCTTCCCCTTCAATCCTTCATCCCTCGCCCTGGAAACCATCCAGATCCCCGGCTCCCTCAACCTGGGCTTCCTGACACGTGTTTGAACCCACAACCTTCAGAATGACTCCAGTGGTATTTGGCCTTTGTGACCCCTCCCGTCTCCACCGTCCCCCCCACTCCCCCCCCCTTTTGGAACAGTAAATCACTTGTCATCCACAGGCCCAGGTTTAAAGGCTCAAATCTTTAGTGAAGTAAATATATTTCTGAGCATCATAACATAAAAAATGAGGATTTCTGTTTCAGGTTCAAATCACACATCAGGTGAAAAAGTCTTAGATTGTTGTATAAACCTGTCACACACACACACACACACACACACACAGGACAGACACAGAGCCTCCGCCCAGCGCTTGTATAAACGCCTGCTTCTTAGAGAAACCGGACCATTGACCACATGAGTCACTGATCCTGGACCTGCGTCGCTGCAGCTCCAGCCTCGTCCGTGTCTCTGCCTGTAGTTGAAGTTCTCACATCATCGACTGATGACAATGTACCACCGATAAGAGGAGGAATAGAAACGTGTGTGTGTGTGTGTGTGTGTGTGTGTTACTGCTGGTGTTGTCTCCACCATCACCGTCTAAATGCTGTCCTTTTATCACCTCCACACAGAGCTCATTGTTTGTACTATATTATTTATGCATATAGAAATATACACATATATGGCTTAATAATATATAGAAATATATCATGTATTTTATTTATTGCATCCTGTCCTGTTTCCTTGTCTTCTCCACTTTGATGATAACGAGAGTCTATGTGAATGAGTTAATGACGGGACCAGGATGAAGAGTCGGTCTGGAGGTGTTTTAGTTTCTCTGTAGCTCTAGGTTTACTAACTGTGTCAGACATGGACGGTAGTGGACGGTAGAACAGCTGTTCTGTCCTGACGGTCCGTGTCTGAGGACGGATTTGAACCCGGGGCAGATGTCGGAGGTTGGAGGTGCTGCAGTATTAAATGTGTTTCCAGCTGTGACTGGAGCAGAGCCTCACGTCCTGCTGGTCGAGAGGATTATTACACCCTGGGTCCGTAGAAGGCAGAGGAGACGTTGATTAGAAATCAGATCAGATGTTAAAGTTGACTGGACCCCGACAGACCAATCAGTGGAGCTCTGTGTGATGATGTCAGAACGCTGCGGTGTTTTTGCTCTTTCCTCGTTATTTATTTCACCACAGTGTTTTTCTAGTGTTCACTTGATGATGTCACGTTTGTACTGGAGGAGAAGACGTTTTACTGAAGTCACGTTTGGAGAGTTGGTTCAGCTGTTTTTATCTCAGTCTGTTTTATGGTCTGTCCTTCGTTTGTTTTTGATATATTTATCAGTCTGCAGCGTTGGACTGCACCCAGTGCAACACTCAGTTTGTCCACTGCTGCACCGGCTGCTCCTGGACATCATGTATCGGCTCAGTTCATCCACAAACTGCAGTCTGTCCTGTTCAACCAGTATTAGCAGTGAAAAGTCAAAAGTCTGCTTCACGTGACTCTTCCTTAATGAAACCCAGACTGAGTGACGAGTTGTGGATCTGCTGCTCAGGAACAAGTCACAGCCGAAACTGTTGTTGTTCGCTGGAGAACGGTGTTGTTGTGTTGTTTGTTGCTCTTTATGACTTTATGTCTGAGTGGAGGGTTTAAGGTGAAGTGAAGAAGTCAGTCGGTCAGTCAGTCAGTCAGTCGGTCGGTCGGTCAGTCGGTCAGTCTGTGGGTCAGTCAGTCAGTCAGTCTGTCCGTCGGTCAGTCGGTCAGTCTGTTGGTCAGTCAGGCAGTCAGTCGGTCAGTCAGTCAGTCGGTCAGTCAGTCTGTCAGTCAGTCGGTCGGTCAGTCTGTCAGTCAGTCAGTCAGTCGGTCGGTCGGTCAGTCGGTCAGTCTGTTGGTCAGTTAGTCAGTCAGTCAGTCAGTCAGTCAGTCTGTCCGTCGGTCAGTCGGTCAGTCTGTTGGTCAGTTAGTCAGTCAGTCAGTCAGTCAGTCAGTCAGTCTGTCCGTCGGTCAGTCGGTCAGTCTGTTGGTCAGTCAGGCAGTCAGTCGGTCAGTCAGTCATGTGAATGTTTATTTTCTAGTAAAGCCTTATCTGAATGACATCATCATCCTAGGATTATTTTTGTTTCCATTTTGTTCAATGTTCAGTGTTTATGCTTTTGTTTTTTTCAGGTGCTTCATTTTTGTCTTACGTTGGTGTCGATTATATATTTGGCCCAAACACAGAGCACAGCAAAGGTTTGGGAATAAATCTTTATTTACAGTCAAATTAATTATTTTTCACTTTAGAGTTTGTTTGTTTTTTTGCACATTTGACTCTTTGACTTTCTGCCACATTCCCTGTCAAAGTGGATACTTACTGGTTTTTCTTTTCACACAGTTTGTGGGTTACAAAAATGTGGATGTTCAGCGTTCCAAGAATCTGATTTTTTATTTTTATTTTTATTTATGGTTACAGAATGGAGCTGTGTCTTCCTGCTGCTGTCGTTGTCTCGTTTTAAACTTCATTCCTTCACTCTCTCTGTTTCACCCAGAAGTGAGAGTTTTCTGTACGATACGACGTAGACATTATACACGACCGTCTCCTCCCAGCACCGTCAGCTGTGCCGTTAATGAAACAGGTGAACCCTGCTGAGAACTCATCTGAAGGTGGCGCTACAGACGCTCCCTCTCTGCACCCCCGTGTGGACGTTAGACAAACTGGACTCTTGTAGTTTCTGGTAGTTGTGATTAGTGAATGTGTTCAGCGTTTCCAAAATTAAGACATTTGGAATGAATTGTCAAAAATGTAAAAGTAAAATAAAATAATTCTGCACTGTCACGTTGAGACACCGATGACTTATTCACACATTTGATCCTTGATTGTTTTTGTTTACTTCTATGATAAATGCAACAATAAATAAGTTGAATATTTTACTCTTTTTTACAGACACGCTGACAAAGGAAGAGTCGAGGGTTGTCAGAGTTTAAAAACTGAAGGAGTAGAGGCAGAGATTCCTGCAGCTTGACTGGTAGAAAACGAGCATCGAGCCACGTAGAAAAGTTAAGATTCAACAAGAAAACAGTGTAAACCTTTTCAAACAGTGGAACATGATTAATCAGGGTCATTAGGGTCATGGTTAAAAATGTTAACTGTTAACGCAGTAACATGTTATTATTATATACAGATCTGATGTCAACACATTTGTCTTTGTTAAAATGGTTTCATGGAAACACGTTGAACTGTGACTGCTGACGTATGCGGTCGGTGAACTACACCGTCACAGCTACAGTGAGACAGTTAGAGCTTAAACACCGGACTAAGAAGATTATAGAGTTGGTTGTGAGTCTGTCACTGAAGACCAACGCAGCACACACCCCGAGGGAGAAGAAGCTGCTGGACAGAATCAACACTTGTAACTGAGAGGTGAGATTTACTGTTTATTTAACTCTTAGAAATATTGACGATGGAGAAAAGCTGCATTTACTGACACAGAAAAACTGAAATCATTTACTTCATATTTGAAACTAAACTGGTTAGTATTTGTACTTTAAACAAACAAAGAAGAAAAACAGAAACGACGGACTGATACTCAGAGCTGGTACAGCTCTAACTCTGCTCTCATGTCAGGTTTTATTACATGTGATGATTTGAAATAAAGTTGGTCTACAGACTGAGAGTCGAGAAGAAGACTGAGGCTCCTGCTGCTGCTGCTGCTGCTGCTGCTGATGCTGCTGCTGCTGCTCCCAGAATAGCTGTGCTGCACAAGAAAGGATCAGACTGGACTAGATTACTGACTACTTAGCTACACACACACACACACACACAGGCCAGAACTGGAGTCAGATGAGCGTCAGCTGAAGCCCAGTTTTTTCTGCGACCTGTTGTCGTCTCTGTGAAAGTTTACTGTTACATTTGTGTCTGTTTGTTTCTATTCATTTGTCTTCTCTCTCTCTCTCTCTCTCTCTCTCTCTCTGTGTGTGTGTTTGTAACAGCGTGTAGCTGAACACCTGCAGCCATGTGTGACCAGACCTTCGTGGCGGTGACCTTTGGCCCCTGTGAGAGCTGCAGCAAACCCAGTCCTCTGATGAACATCTACATCAAGAGCGAGCCCATCAACTACTGCTCCTTCTGCGTGGAAGTGGTGTGTGAACGTCTCTCTCTCTCGCTACGATAATAAAATATGATGATCTGCGAGTTTTCATTTGCTCACAATTTACGAACTAATCATCGAACCTGATCCTGTTTAGTTGAACACCTCCCTGGTGGACTCACAGGAGTACAAACGAATACAATACTGTATGAAAATATAAAAACCTGAGAACGGCTGTTGTGTTAGAGAGGAGAGAGAGGGGAGGGACAGAGGGGAGGGAGGGTGGGAGGGAGAGGGGAGGGAGGGGGGAGTGTCCTCCTCCCAACAGCATCACTCTCAGCTGCAGCGCGAGCTTTCATCACCAAACTACCGTCGTGTTCGCTTGTGTTTTTTCCTCTTCTTCATCGACCTCTTCTTCTTCTCTCTTCTCCTCCTCCTCCTCCCCCTCTTCCTCTTCCTCTTCCTCCCCTCCTCACAGATGGCCTGTCAGGGGCTGAAGCAGGGAGAGAGTCTTCAGACCCTGAAGAGAGAGAGTGAGACTCTGAAGAAGAAGCTGGAGGAAGAGAGAGGAAAACTGAACGACGTGGAGTGTGAGTGCACACACACACACACACACGACGTTTGGTTTTAGAGAAGCTGTGCTGCGAGTTTAATTACTGCCACCTACTGGTTCGTTTTGATCCTGCCTGCTACAGTTATTAATGAACTTAATAATCTTCCTGTTGAATGATATTTGTATATATTTGTGTGTGTAGTGCATCAGGTAGCTGAGAAGATCGAAGTACTGGCTTCTCTCTCCATAAAGACCAGACGGGTTCTGAAAGGTCACGCAAACAAGGTTCTGTGCATGGACTGGTGTAAAGACAAACGTCGTGTGGTCAGCTCCTCCCAGGTAAACACCTCTGTCACCTCTCTGCTCTGCTCCTGTATGAGAACAGACAGAGTTTACTGATTAATATTTCTGTGGTTTGAACTGTTCCTCTCTCCAGGATGGAAAGGTGATCGTGTGGGACGCCTTCACTCTGAACAAGGTGAGCAGATAACTGGGACAAGTTGAGTAAAAACGTAAAAGTAAAAAAACTGGAAAAACTGACAACAGGAGATCAGAATTATCTTCTTTGAACAAAATCATATGGTTTAAATATGATGTACAAAACGATTTTATTAAAGCTAGAAAGGATGGTTATTTATTTGCTATTTGAAAACTCTTGAGGTGAAGCTAAAGATTAACAACAAAAAGATGAAGCTGTGATTTGTAGCATCGTTATCAAGATGATCAGATTGTTGTTGTGATTGGTCTGTATCTTCATAGACAGTAAATGAATCAAATCAACTGCAGTTTCAGAGTTTGTTTGTATTTGTCTTTACTTTACTACAACCTCTGACCTCATTTGACCTTTTTGTTACAGGAGAATGTAATTGCCCTGCCCTGTACATGGGTCATGGCTTGTGCTTATGCCCCCTCTGGTTGTGCAGTTGCATGTGGGTAAGATGTTCTTTTTTGTTCCATCTCATTTGATTCCTTCATTATCACTGCTCTTCATCCACTGTGGCAGGAGTGGGTCAACCTTTGGCTCACGGACCAAAATGATGTTCGTTTGCATACGTTGATGATACTGAGGTTTGACATCCGTTCAACTCTGCCGTTTCCCTCTGTGTTGTCAGTGGACTGGACAACAAGTGCTCAGTGATCCCTCTGTCGATGGACAGAACTGAGAACCTGGCTGCAAAGAAGAAGTCAGTGGCCATGCACACCAACTACGTGTCTGGATGCTCCTTCACCAACTCTGACATGCAGGTAATCAGACGTCCACGGTTCACTCCTCTCAAAGATGACATCTGTTTTTTAAGGGAATTTTTCTTTTTAAGGTTTTTTTTAGGTGAGTTAGAGCAACATAAAATAACAGGAAGTAGGAGGAGGAGAGGAACAAAGAGGAGAGAGTAAAGTGGAGGAGGGGAGTGGAGGGGGGGGTCGTGTTTTTTCTGTGTGTATTAATAGATACTTGAGTGGCTTTTATCTGGGCAGAGCGTTTAACACCAGACACGAGAACGAATGGACAGAACTGAGTGACCAGTGAGCACCGAGTACTAGTGGTCACATGGTACTGCAGTAGTACTGTTTACACTTTATATCCTGTAGGATATAAAGGCTGGTTGAACCAGAGTAGTGTGTGTCTGTGTGTGTCTGTCTGTCTGTGTGTGGACATTTCTTTATTGTTGTGGCGTCAAAATCACACAACATCCTGAGGAGGATATGATTTGTTCCTCCATCAAGAAGCCACCTAGTGTCTGTCTTGTCGTCTGTTTTTATCAAAGGTGAAAAGTCAACAGATTTTTTTTATCTGTTAGTGGAGAATTAATGACGTCATTAAATGTTGTTCAGAAAATAATAAAATTAATAAAAACCGTTTTTTTTATTCTTCTGGCTTTGCTTGTGTGTGTGTTTGTGTGTGTGTTAGATACTGACCTCAAGTGGCGACGGCACATGTGCATTATGGGATGTAGAGAGCGGTCAGCTGCTGCAGAGTTTCCATGGCCACACCGCTGATATCCTGTCCCTGGATTTTGCTCCATCAGAAACTGGAAACACTTTTATCTCTGGGGTGAGGACGAGCTCAGCTGTGGACGTGTCTGTGTGTGGACAGGAAATGTCTCGTCTTATGATTCTCTAACAAAACTATGTAACATACAATATTATATACAGTATAAATAATATACAATATGAAATATGTGTCGTCAGGGCTGTGACAGGAAGTCCAACGTGTGGGACATGAGATCTGGACAGAACATCCAGTCCTTCGAGAGCCATGATTCTGACATCAACTCTGTCAAGTAAACGCCGTCCTCTGATCATATCCATTTATGAGAAAAAGATCTCTCTGCCATCATACAGAGATTTTTAAGACAAATATTTCAATATTACTAATATTCAATATTTTTTAAGACAAATATTTCAATATTACTCAAATAGAATTTTCTGAGATAAAAAAGAACACGTTTTTACGTCAGAGATTTAAAGAGACATTGCCACTAATTGTATTATTTGTGAACACTGTGGCCAACGTGGCATAAACATAAATCAAAAGAGTGAAATGAGACGAGCTGCTGACGGCTGGTCATGTTGTCCTTGTAGGTTTTATCCCAGTGGAGATGCGTTCGCTTCCGCTTCCGACGACGCCACGGTGAGTGACGTCATTTGTCATGTTTACATCCTTGTGTATGTCAGTGATGGTCTTGGTTTTACACTGTACAACTGACAACTCTAAACTACGTGGAGGCTGAATCTCCTCTCATCACAGCGTCATCATGTTTCCTGTTTGTTGACGTTTTTTCAGTGTCGATTTTACGACCTTCGAGCGGACCGTGAAGTAGCCGTGTACAAAAAGGACAGCATCATATTCGGCGCCTCCTCCGTGGATTTCTCTTTGAGTGGTGAGTGACACGGTTAAAACACTTCACATTACCTAGAGATTGCGGGTCTTAGCACCATCTAGTGGTGAAATTAATTAACTTCAGATTTAGCTCCACGCTGCTGGAGGAAGTGGTGAGTCTGCGGTTCTCACACGTTTTCTACTCTGTACCACCTGAGAAAACACTGAGTTCCACCATGATGACCAACAGTAGAATTCCCCGGCTCGTTCCACGTTCAATTTGCAAGTGATTCCATGATTCCGTGCTGCCTGTGCTTACGTGAGCAACAGACTTGCATTGCAGCAAAGACCGGACATCCTGTCCTTCATAATCTCACAAGTAGCTACACATGTTTTTCTAACTGTTGTATTAATTGTGCATGGTATGTTTTTAGATTTATTTAATTGAAAATGTAAATGTGAAAATATAAATTATCCCCGTGTACCACTAGAGAGCGCTCGCGTACCAGTACCACAATCTTAGAGCAACACGTTCACAGTTTTAACTTAGATTTTTATCTAAACCCAGTTGGTATTCTCACAGAACACAGTGAAGTAAAACCATTTTCCAGCTGTAGGACAAATAAAAGAAACATATTTTTATTTTAATTTCTCTCCCCATAATGGCTCTGTGCACCCTGGGGGTGGCCTGCCCACTTATAACTTTGCCCTAAAAAGTGGAATTTATTGAGAAGAGAAACCAGTTCCTGTTAACATTTAATACTAATGAAACCGCCCACGATTCAGTGGAAAATTATCAAACTTTCCTGTGTTTAACCCGACACTTTCTATTCCTACTTCCCCTTATTCCTGTGAACTTCCCTTCCTATTTCTCATACTTCCTCTACCGTCTGTCCTCCCACACACCTGCAGGTCGTCTGCTTTTCGCTGGTTACAACGACTACACCATCAACGTATGGGACGTTCTGAAGGGGACTCGCACCTCCATCCTGTTTGGTCACGAGAACCGCGTCAGCAGAGTGAGAGTGTCACCTGACGGCACGGCTGTCTGCTCCTCCTCCTGGGACAACACTCTGAGGGTGAGCACAGGTTCTGGACGTGAATGGAACGTCCTCACCTTGGAGCTGTGGTGTGTGGTGTCTCTGTTTGATCCACTGTAACAGTCACTGTTCACTCTCTCACAGATCTGGGCCTAGTGTTGGAGGCAGCGGGATCAGATGGAAGACACAGGGAATTTAAAACTGTTTTCATATTCACAAAATAACTTTGTATTAATCCTATACAACAGTATAAAGAAGATAAGAGACAATATTTGGTGTCCATATATACAGATGTTCTTCTGGTCCCTGTACAGTAGGTTCCATGTGGGTCCCACAGGGCACGCCACTGAGGTGTGTTGGGTACTTACCAAAAAAAAGAAGTGCAGATTCTGTGTGTGCTCAGTGTTTTTAACTGATGAATTCTAGTTTATCGTGCAGTTGTTTTTCTGGTTTTTTTTCCCCCCCCCCCCCCCCATCATATCACGACCTCACAGATAAGGTCCAATCATTGTGTCTTTGTCAGTGTTTGTCTTTGATCACTCTTTCACGTCTTTATTTGTGCAAAACAACAATCAAAGTTCATACCTAAATTACCCGAAGGAAACTCCCGAGGGATTTTTAACGGACTATCTATCGGTCTGTGTACCAGTATGAACCGTCACTAAACTGGGATAAAACATAGTCGACACTGAACAGTCGGACATCTGCCGCCGTGGAGGAACATCTGAATTCTAACTCACGTTGATTAATATTAAACTATTAAATATTTATTTGGTTAAACTTCCATTATTGAAAATGTGATTCTTGTGATCAGTTAAATTACTCGTCTAAGTTAATTGGCTAAGAAGGAGGGGTGGGGTGGGGGTTACACTGCGTACGAAAGTATTCAAACCATTGACACAAAGAAACAGGTTTTACTTCATCGTGTGTGGAGTTTACCTGGCACTGAAGGACAAAACTGTGGTTAAGAGTGAAATCAAAATCGAATAAACCACAGCTATGGCTGTGGAGAAAGTGAAACTTCACATGACTGCCAAGACTCAAGACTCTCTGCCAAGACGATGACGTAATTGAAAAACCACATTTTGTTATAAATATAACTGTGAAACTCACAGACAGCCTATATCGAATTTGTGTTTGGTAATACGGTTGACTGAGCTGAATATGTAAAATGAGAATCTCCATTGACATGAATGGAAAAAGTGACGTCATTGTCCACACGAGGAATATTTTAAAGACGAAAAATCGAGAGAATATCAATATGGACCAGAACGACATTGAATGGAAGATGACAGAGCGAGAGATTGTTCTTAAAATGCATCGCTTTGTTTTAGGCTTCGTGGTCAACGGGGAATTTGCTGGTCCTTTACGGTAAAAGCTGCGGGGGCGGAGTCACATGATAAAATCGGTGATGCGGCGCCTCTGAAGGGAAGCTGACAATGTGCAACTCAGCGTCTCCTTCCGCCGTCTCTACGAGCTCTGAGCAGTCTGATATCGCTGGGAGGGTAAGATCCTTTTTTTTTTAAATTCTCATTCAGCGCCAGACATTAAACGTTGTCAACTACGTATCTTATTTTACACACAGTCCTGAAACAGAGATTTCAGTAAAGGCAGAAGGGTAAGAGTTACGGTGGTGACGTTAACTAGATGTGTTGGTTTGGAGCTCAGTCCGACTGCTCCTTTGTGTCCTCCATTACTGTGGTGACAGATGAACAGTAAACGTAGCAGCCGCCGCCGGTCAACTGCAAGTTCATCCTCTCGTTACCACATGGACGCACGGCACTAAGATTGTTGCCTTAAATTACCTTACACTCCGTTCTATACTGTTATTATTCTGTTTCTGTGACGTTCCTGTGATTAGCATATAGCATCTGTGTTAGCTAACGGTCACAACGTTGTTAAAATCTATTACGAAATATGATTGTAAAACCGCTGTATGCGTATAATAGACATCCGTGAAATAAAAATAAAAAATAGCAGCATCATGCTTTACCAAACAAAAACAAAAACGACGTTTATTCAAATGAGTGGGTTATAGTTTAAATTTACAGCAGAATGTGCCGGTTCTGCTGATGAAAGAATAACGTCTTTGTCCTGAAGGCAAAGGCTAATGCTAATGCTAGCTGTGTTTGTATGTGTTCGAACAGCAGGGTGTGTTGGTTCAAAGCTCCAGCAGTGACAGCTCAGCAACAAGTCAATAATTTCAACAGTATATTACCGTAGACATGAATTGACATTTGTTTTCAGGGTTTTTTTTAGGTCCACTGATTTACTCATTTGCATGAAAGATTAATTTAGTAACATAAGGGTGTAATTCTTTTTTGTTTCGTACTGTATTGGACCGGTATTAACTTCCAAAAAACATTTTTAAGAATTCCATTTGTACTGATTTTTGTTTTTATTCGTTAAACATTTGATTTTACTATATTAATATGAATTAAGAAAAGAAAATGTCACAACATTGCACAAGAGATTACTTACAAATAAGTTCACAGTTGGGTGAAGTGCTATATTTTGAATCAAAACATTTTTTTAATGATCATTTTGTAGAAAATGTCATGTGGGCTGTGGAAAGAGACCCTGGCTGTGGCAGAGGACTACCTGTCCCTCTGCTGTTCAAGCCCCCGGCCAGCCCCTCCACCTCCCAGCGAGTCAGCCGCTGCCATGAGACACCTGGCCCAGGACATGGAGAAGCAGCACCAAGCTCGCTTCCAGACGTTGTCTCAGTCTTTCCTGAGGCAATGTGGCTCTGAGCCCTGTGTGTGTCTTAGGAAGGTTATGGAAGAGCTGGTAGGAGACGGACACTTGAACTGGGGGAGAGTTGTTTCCATTTTCACCTTTACTGGGGTTCTGGCCAAACAGCTGTTGGTCCAGAAGGGTTTAAAGCCGGGGCAGGAACCCGAGGCAGGGCAGGAACTGGGACCGGAGCCTGGAACCTGCAGGGAACTGGCAGAGACCATTGCTGATTATCTGGGAGAAGAGAAGAAAGCGTGGCTTTTGGAGAATGGTGGATGGGTGAGTCAGAGCTTGTTTCACTTTTACTAAAACAACACATAATGTCAATGGGATTTTTGACTTTAATATGGGAACTGACTTGAATACCAACGTTGTGTTTTGTGCTCGTGTTTGGAAACCACCTGGTGTGATAGGCTGCTGTTCCGGTGGTGTTTGCGTGTGTGTGTGTGTGTGTGTGTGTAAAATGTGACTGGTTTATGGTTTGGTTAAATGCAGCCTACACACCCATGCATTCCCCCCTTACTTTCCCTTTTGCTTATGAGCATTTAAAAGTATGATGTTACTGTTGTACTACCAGATCATAATTGATTTTAATGAATCAAACCTGTACTGTGAAACTACAATATTATTATTCAGCCCCAGTCCACTTTGGTCAAAGAAGCAGTAGTGAAAATAAACGCTGAGTTTCTGTTTTGTGAATGGATTTTTCTGAAGAAACACACATTCTGCAGCTGGCAGCTGGTTTCATCACGTGCTCAGCTGGACAGACATTGGAAAACAGTCATTGCTTCACTGTGTCAAAGTTTGCACCAGGCGTATTGAAAGTTATTGTTTGACTAAAACAACAAGCACCTGCTGCAGAAAGCAGCTGGTTGTCACAATCTGAAACAGAAATTTAATTCTGTTTATTATAGTGTTATATATTATTATA